TGCCGGGAAGCAAGGAAATATTTCCACTTCAGAAGGGAGTTTAATCACATAACTGCTCCAGTTCAAACACCTGCTTCAGGACGCCTGGAAACCATGCTTGGACCAGTAAGAAGTGTTTTGGGGAGGGACACTGTTTTGAGCCTCTGGCATCCAGGCTACCCCAGAAACTGTTTCACTGGGGGGGAATCAGCTAGCGGAGCAGAGGCAGCCTGTGCTGGGGGTGCTAGCTGAAGGGCGATCTACATCCCCAGGACTTGAGGAAGGGATCTCAGCTGGAGAAGACAGGGCTGCTGTCCAGACTTGCCAATGGTGAGCCACGGATGAAGAAGAGCAGACAGGAGGCATGGAGGTTTCACTTCGCTGCAGCCATAAAGGAGAACCCAAGTGAACAGAAACCAACGAAAGTATTTGAACCCCCAGTAGCCCAAAACCACTAAGGTTCAGTGCAGCTGCACTGAGCATCTCATCAGTGCTGCCTCTGGGCCAGGCGAGGTTCAGGACTGGGTGGCTGGGATGCACACACTGCTTTCAGGTCTGCGTGGTCCCGGGGACGACAAGCACCTGTGGTGAGGACAGCAGGCACCCCCAAGGGCCTGCCCCCGTGCCCCGCTCACCTGGTACGGCCTGCGGCCTTCTCATCTGAAACGAGGTCTGGGCTGGATGCACTCAAAAGGAGGCTGTGAGGATTAAACAAAGTAGTTTGGAGGAGCTCCAGGTGGAAGCGATGGGTCTCTTCCCTTCAGATACATGGTTTTGCCCAGCTGGATGGCACAGCCTGGCAGGCAGGGAGCGCAGAGCCTATCCCGGGTTTGGCGCTAACCAGCGGCATTGGCAGGGACAACCTGGATAAAGCTCTTACCTTCCTACGCCTCAGGGCTTCCCCTATTAACAGCAACCTGGACCAGGATTCGTTAAGCCCCTCTTTGTGGCAAAAGTATGAGATCTGCAGAAATTCCCCCCAGTATTTACAAAGGCCACTGGAAGTGTGGGCCAGAGCGTTGCTTTGTGCAGTCTGGCACGGTTACCTTGAAATCTGCTCCCGTCTGCCTGAGCAGCTGGTCCTTTGTTTGTGAGTGAGCATAAACCTTGGACGCGTTTCACACATCAGGTTTTTGGGACTGGAGCCAAGCCAGCAAAGCCCAGCTTGGACCAGACGTTAAGCACGAACCCTGCCTTACCGCACATGCTACCTGAGCCCCTGCCTGCAATCATAGAAATTACCTTGTTATCCTTAAAACTCTCCTCAAACTTACAACTCAGGAGGGAAAACCCCGCACTGCTCAGCGCGTTGAAGTCACCATCCATCAGAATGACTACTCCTGTGCCGCAGTCTCCTTCCTGGTTGCCCTAGGGCCACCAGCTAGCTCCTCTTGGACCCGGCCTGGAAGACGTTTGGGATGGGCACCATGTCTGCTCAGCAGAGGTCCTAGACCGAGCTCAGGGCTCTGAAGCACTATGGGAATGCTAAAAATAACGAGCTCAGCCTGGACCGCCAAAAGGTGCCTTGGCTCCCAACTGCTTCTCAGCGGTCTTGGGGTGGAAATTGAAAGAGCCCTGAATACATAGCAGGTGGCTCCAGGCAAGCACAATATGGTGGTTTCTGAGGAAGGACTTGTTCCAGGCCATCTGTGGAAACCGCAAGTGGTGTTTCTGGTGTTTCAGTCTGCAGGCCGTCATGTGTTTCACAAGTGGGCACGCTTTGTTCCACTGCAGCCAGGCGCTGGCGGCGGCGCCGCCGCACCACCTCTGCCCGCCGCCCACAGCGGAGGAGGACGCAGGGCTGGAGCCACCTGCGCAGGAATGACGCTTCCTCACGCACCAGGCAGCTCCGAGGGACAAATAACCCCGTGGGAGGGATGAGCAATACAGAGCAGGGTGGTTTGCCCAAAGAGCTTACAATAAAGGGGAAAGGCTGGCCCTCTTTCTCATATTTTTGCTCCCTGCATTAGTTTGACCTGGGTGGAAGCAAAGACGTGTTATATGCAAATCTACTGAGCTCTCAGCGAGCTACTTTTGAGGCAGCGCCAGGGACCGAAAGAGGATTAAACCCTGAGGGAGACATCACGACGGGCCTAAGGAGGCACAGGGAAAGACTGAAATGCAAACATCGAAGGTGCTCTGCCCCGGGCACCCGCAAGGTGCATTCCCTCACTGCCCACCTCCATCACACACATCCTGTAAGCCAGACCTGCCACGAGTAACGGGAGCTGGGGGACTTAAGAGCACTGGGGATAGTGCTGCGGCCACAGAAATTATGGTCTGCAGCCAGCTCTTCTCACAAGCAACAAGGCCATGTTCCGCAGCACTTGCAAGGGATGTGCACAGACCCACGAGCATCCCACCAACGTGGTGGGATAACTTGGCCACAGAGCAGGAGGTCCATAGCACAAATCCCCGCCTTGCAGGGTCTGGCAGGACTCTGCAGGACAGCCCTGCTCAAGGGGTCCCGCACCACAGGACATCGGGTCCAGGACAGCTTGGGATGCAAGTCTGCCCTCAGCCCTAACGCACAGACGTTCCTGGGAAGGGAGAGCCCCGCACAGCGCTTACTTGGCCTGCACGGGAAAGTCTGAGCCGAGGGTTTTCCCATCTCAGAGTGCTTCTTGAGTGCCAGGAGATAAGTTGTGATGTCCACTATGCTTTGGGACTGGGGAAAAGAGAGCAGCTATAACTGCTTAACCTGGAGGAGTCAGCTTCAAGTCTCATGAGAGATGAACACTTATTTCAGAGATGTTTCACTGGGAAAGCTGAGAGTTGCTTATCCCAAAAAAGGCTAGAAAGCCAGGAATCGGGGCAACCTGCTGGAACAGAGGTGAGCTGAAATCAACCAGAGTCCTCCCAACTTAGTTGTCCCATGACCACACATTCTTGCTTGGGGAAGATCTCTGTCATTAATTAAAAAAAAAGGCTAAAGGTAGCAGGAAAGGGCTGGTTTGCTTTGGTACCCAAGCAGAGGAGGACAGCTTTGCATCCATCTCCTCAGCGTGATGGTGACTCAGCACTTGCTAAGGACACTCAGATCTCTGTGGACCACAAGCACTGGCTTACACTGTCTCTTGGGTGCCAGGGTCCCATCATACAGGCTGCCCCCGGGCTGAGGCAAAGCGGAACACACACAGCAGCCGTCTACAGCCCTGGGCCAAAGGGGAAGGAGGCCGGTATTGCTGCTTGTCCTTCATAGGGGGCAGGGGACACACCAAGCATGGTCCTGCCAGCCTTCCTAAGCTTCCCAGGGCCTCAGCCCAAAGCAGGCTTCAAATCAAGGCAGCTGATGAGCAGATGCTCAGCCTCCCCAGTACACTACAGACTTTAGCACCTCTCCAAGGTTGAGGCTCCTTTTTGCCAATAACTCCTGGTTCCACCCAAACAAGACCTCCCCAACCACCCCTTGCACAAGACTTGGTCTTTGGGGGCCTATGAGAAAGGCAGGTTGTGAGGACGGTGGGTTACAGCTCCAGCAGGCAACATAGGGACAAAAACGACTGTATGTCTTCCAGCAGGACTGTAAGTAACTGTCCCCTTCCCAGGTCCTCAAAGCACCATGGCCTGGGCCATCATGGCCATGAGCAAAGGACAACGGGGTCAAGAGATGTAGGAGATGGGCATGGCCCTATCTTCACACTCCTTTGAATGAGGGCCCCATAAGTGATACCCTTTTTCCTCCCTCAAGCTGCATTATAGCATCATCTCCTGCCCCTGAGCTGAAGCTGAGCAGTTACAGAGTAGGATAGAGTCAAGAGCATCTCACCGCAGAGGCTTAGCACAGGCCCAGCCACAGGGGAAACTGAGGCAGAAGTGAGTCAGACATGCCAGCTCTCCTCAGATTTGGCACTTCACTTATTGCAATAAAAAAACATTGCAAGAGAAATACAAAATATAGCACTTTAATTGCAGCAGGATAAAAAAAATTACAAAAACATTTAACAAAACTCAGGCATAAAATAAATAGGCAGCCTTAGCAACACCACATGTACGGTCCTGGTTTGCCGTCAGCTGCAAGGCACAAGCCCCACGTCCTAGCCACACGCACAGAAAGCATGTTAATGAGGATTTACACATGGACGCTGCTGCCTGTTCATGCTTGGGAGAGACCAACACACACGTTTTGGAGAGTGAAGCCAACCTATTAACACTATGCCGAGATCTTTAACATAAAAGATATTATATATATATATATATTTATATAAACTCTTACTTAATTCCTCTGGCTAGAGGAATTAAAACTCCTATGTTCTTATACCCAACATTTACATATATAATCTCTGCATTGGTTTCCAAATTTCAAAGTACTTCCATATTACAGACAAAAATATAAATCTCATAGCAAAAATAACAAATAGGAATTTCTTTTAGGAAGTTTTCCTTGGAAGGCATACCTTATATTCTATCAGCAGTATTGCAAACCCTTTGGGAAAAACTGATTTCTGGGAAGAATTTTCTAAACTTGAGCATTTTAAAGCTTTTCCAGGAGTCACCTCCTTCCAAATTTATATTCTCAGCCAGGTCCAAGTTGCAGACCAGGGCAGGTTGTTACAGCTATTGATTTTCAGTTCTGCCTGACTTGCAAATAACAGAGGCAGCGCAAAGCCCTGCTAGCTCAGATCCCACACAGCTCGACGCGCTCTTCTCCGTCCCTTGCCATCAGCTATAGGCAGTGACATGAGGACCATCTCGTTTGGTGCAAAAGACAGTTTACTGATAACAGACCTGACATGGGGGATCCAACTCACAAATAACAATTTTTACTGCTGTGTTTATACAGACTCAAGACTGGAACAGCAAAGAGTGACAAGAACCAGAGGACACTTTCCAAAAGGAGTTTAGGCACTAATGGAACTGAGCCTAGATTAACCCGAACAGCCGTATCACGTCTATTGAGAAGGGGGCTCAGACTGCAATCTGTTGACTTTCTCGG